TCTGGAAATAAAATTGCAGTTGGCCATGTGGGAGTCCAACACCCTCGACCACCATGCCACCTACTGGCCCAAAATAAGCTTTTTTAAAAAATGTGAGGTAGCAACCCAGTGGGTTATTAGTGCAACCTCCTCTTCACCTGCAAGAGATTCCCTTCATTTCTGAACTAAAAATAAATCTTCTGGGGCCGGCAGGTGGTGTGGTGGTTAAGGTGCCTACCATGGTTTGAGTCCCGGACCTGGTGGCTTGCTTTCTTGCTTTCCCTCTCTCTCTCTCTCTCTCTCTCTCTCTCTCCCTGTCCCTCTCTGGTCAAATTTTTAATTCAAAATGGTTGGCCATGTGGGAGTGTCCAGCGCCCTTAACCACCAGATCACCTGCTGGCTCCTAAAAAATCTTCTGAGACCAGTAGATGGCCTGGTGGTTAAGATGTTGGAGTCTGACATGGGCAACCACAGTTTGAGTCCTGGACCTGGTGACTTGCTTTCTCATTTCCCCCCTCTCTCTCTCTTTCTCTCTTGTGAGTGCACACGCCCTATAGCAAATCAAATAATAGTAATAATAAATAAAGTTAATTTAAAAAATAAATATTCCATTGCCCATAGGAAAGATACAGTATAGACTGGACTTATTGGGAACTAACTCACACAAGTTTTTCCTTACTTTTATATTTTCATTTATTTAACTGGTAGTAGTTAAATAAATCCACATGCACCCAACATTGTTTTTTTTTTTTTTTTTGTGGGGGTTTTGTTTTTTTTTTTTTTTTGGTTTTTGGGTTGGTGGGGTTTTTTGGTTGTAGGGTGTGTGCGCTTGACAGAGAGACAGAGAGACAGAAAGCAATGGCCATGCCACAATCTCTTCTCCATTCTCCTGTCGGGATCTTGGGCACACACACACACACGCGCGCCCAGCGTGAGTTCAAGCCACCGGGTCCAGGACTCACACCACGGTCGACTACATGGGAGTCCAGCAACATAGCCATTACGCCAACTGCTGGTTCCGTGCCCAGTATTGAGTTTTAAGCTGCCAAGTTTGGGACTCGAACCATGGTGGACTATGTGGGAGTCCAGCACTGTAACCATTATGTCATCTGCTGGTCCTCAGAAAGACAGTTCTTAATTCCAACCCTCCCCTGACCCCACTTAATAGCCATGTGACCTTGATCTCTTTGAACCTCAGAATCCTCACCTTTAGGAAAGGATGACACCCCACGATGTTGCCATGTGGATTAATTTAGATTGTGTATGTGGAGTACCTAGTATATAGTTGACACTCAGTTAGAAACAAACAATTAGTAATAGCTAATATTTGACAGTATGTTACATGCTTAACATTCCTCCCCTTTTATATATATTAATAGAACCCTCCCAACAATCCCAAGGTAGATACTATTATCACCATCAGAAGGGGAAGCTGAAGCCCAGGGAGTTGAATTTGCACACTACACACAGAGCCAGAGCTGGAAGCCTAGGCAGTCTGCCTCCTGTGTAGCCATCACACCACGTTTTTGCTGTCATGTCACTATCAACCTCCAGCCCATCCCCGAAACGAGAGGGGTTCTTGCTGCTTCTCTCACACAGGGAAGGTCACTGAGCACTTTAGTCACACCACCACCAGACCTCTCTCTCTTACATATTCAGAGTCCAGGACTTGAGGCCTTATCTCCAACTGAACAATGGCTGTGGGGCAGCAGGACGTGCTATGGTTTTGCAGTGCTGGACTCCCATGTGGCCAACCGTGGTTCAAGTCCTGAACCTGGCAGCTTGCTTTCTCACTTTCCCTCTCTGTCTCTCTCTGGTGAGTATGTATGTCCTATAGAAAAAGAAAATAAAACAATAATTCCTTTTGGAAAATGATAATGGACAAAATGACTTGATTCGGGCTAAATATTAAACTGTCAGCATCATTACGGCACATATGCAAACTAAACTGGGCTCCTGTCTTTTTTCTTTTTCTTCTTTTTAATTTGCCAAAAGGTGCATGGGCTCGCTAGAGAGTGACAGAAACACAGAGAAAGAAGTAAAGTGAGACACCACCCCCCCACCCCCCCTGCCGATGGGGCATGGTCACACCACAATCCCTTCTCTGTTTTTCCCTCCTTTTGAGATTTTGGGTACACACACACATGCTCCCAAAGTTATTTTTTGTTTTGTTTTGTTTTTTAATGATTTTTCATTCTTTTTAAGAGAGATTTTTTAAGAAGTATTTTATTTAACTTTATTTATTTTTTTATTTTAATTTGACCAGAGAGGGACAGAGTGAGAGAGAGAAAGAGAGAGGGGGAGAGTGAGAAAGGAAGCTAAGTGAGAAAGGAAGCTGCCAGGTCCGGGACTTGAACCACAGTCAACCATGTGGGAGTGCAGTCTTAATCACCATGCCACCTGCTGGCCTCAGGTTCCATCATTTCTTTACTTGTGTTTTTAAAGTTCATTTAATTTTTTTTTCTTGTACAAATTTACATTTTTTAAGGAATTACTTAATTTTATTATTATTATTATTATTACTAATTTGCTATAGAGCATGCATGCTCACCAAAGAAAGAGAGAGAGAAAAAGTATGAAAGCAAGCTGCCAAACCTGAGATTTAAACCTCTAACCACCATGTGGGAGTCCCACACCTTAACCACCATGCCACCTGTTGGCCCCTAAATATCTTTTTTAAGTTTACCTATTTTTTCCCTTGAGCAAGAGAGACAGAGCCTGTTGGAGACCACCCTGTGTGACGATGGCCCAGGCCTACTGGAAAACACCCTCAGTGACCCCGCACTCTGGGTACTGGAGCACAGGAGTCTGCACAGTCTCCTGTAACCCGTTTCCCAGAGAAGCAAGCCAAGTCCCACGGGGTTCCTGTGTCCTGTGTCCTACATAATGGCTCTTACACGCTATGCTTTGTGTTTCCAAGTCTATCTTTAACTTCCTTCTTGAAGAGGTGCTAGCTTTGGGGGAATCCTGCTCTTTGTATGTTCATCCTGTGCCGTCCACTGTACATTCACAAAATTTCCCATGGTAAATATGTACAGTAAAGCTTGCTGAGGAAAGCTCCTCAGTTTACTTCACTGTGTGTGATCTGATCTTCGACGCAATAAGTACATATGTCCTATAGAAAAAGAAAATAAAACAATAATTCCTTTTGGAAAATGATAATGGACAAAATGACTTGATTCGGGCTAAATATTAAACTGTCAGCATCATTACGGCACATATGCAAACTAAACTGGGCTCCTGTCTTTTTTCTTTTTCTTCTTTTTAATTTGCCAAAAGGTGCATGGGCTCGCTAGAGAGTGACAGAAACACAGAGAAAGAAGTAAAGTGAGACACCGCCCCCCCACCCCCCCTGCCGATGGGGCATGGTCACACCACAATCCCTTCTCTGTTTTTCCCTCCTTTTGAGATTTTGGGTACACACACACATGCTCCCAAAGTTATTTTTTGTTTTGTTTTGTTTTTTAATGATTTTTCATTCTTTTTAAGAGAGATTTTTTAAGAAGTATTTTATTTAACTTTATTTATTTTTTTATTTTAATTTGACCAGAGAGGGACAGAGTGAGAGAGAGAAAGAGAGAGGGGGAAAGTGAGAAAGGAAGCTGCCAGGTCCGGGACTTGAACCACAGTCAACCATGTGGGAGTGCAGTCTTAATCACCATGCCACCTGCTGGCCTCAGGTTCCATCATTTCTTTACTTGTGTTTTTAAAGTTCATTTAATTTTTTTTTCTTGTACAAATTTACATTTTTTAAGGAATTACTTAATTTTATTATTATTATTATTATTACTAATTTGCTATAGAGCATGCATGCTCACCAAAGAAAGAGAGAGAGAAAAAGTATGAAAGCAAGCTGCCAAACCTGAGATTTAAACCTCTAACCACCATGTGGGAGTCCCACACCTTAACCACCATGCCACCTGTTGGCCCCTAAATATCTTTTTTAAGTTTACCTATTTTTTCCCTTGAGCAAGAGAGACAGAGCCTGTTGGAGACCACCCTGTGTGACGATGGCCCAGGCCTACTGGAAAACACCCTCAGTGACCCCGCACTCTGGGTACTGGAGCACAGGAGTCTGCACAGTCTCCTGTAACCCGTTTCCCAGAGAAGCAAGCCAAGTCCCACGGGGTTCCTGTGTCCTGTGTCCTACATAATGGCTCTTACACGCTATGCTTTGTGTTTCCAAGTCTATCTTTAACTTCCTTCTTGAAGAGGTGCTAGCTTTGGGGGAATCCTGCTCTTTGTATGTTCATCCTGTGCCGTCCACTGTACATTCACAAAATTTCCCATGGTAAATATGTACAGTAAAGCTTGCTGAGGAAAGCTCCTCAGTTTACTTCACTGTGTGTGATCTGATCTTCGACGCAATAAGTACAGAGCACAAGAGAAGGCTGCATTCGAGTTCTCTCGAATCCCCAGCCCCTGCTCTTTGCTCAATTTATTTAGACTATGAGTCTTTCAACACACGCACCACTCAGCGACTCTGAGTCTGTGGCAAGAAACCCCAGCAGGGTCCTGATTCCACAAGCGACCTCCAGCTTCTGCCAGCCCTGGATTGTGGGCACGCCTCTGTCCAGAGTGTTCAGGGACAGGGACCTCTCCGAACACAGGCCCAGAACTTTCTCATGTGAGTCAGCCCTGTTATCAGCCTCACAGAGTGTGCAGTGTTACTACTGCACCAGCATCCAGCCCCACAATGGAGAGTTTTTATCTTAGGGTCACCCGTGGGCACCTTGCCAGTACCCGAGTTCTTCCCCATTCTCTGCTTTCCCAGTTCCCCTCCCTTCCTCTCTCCCTCCCTCGTCCTGAACTGTAAGTCACAGCTCTCTCCTACCAAGCCTCACCCTTCTGTCCCATCACAGTGTGTCTGCCTCGGATTCTCCCCAGTCTGCTCTCCCCTACGGAAATGAGGCACAGCCTTGTGAATTTTCTTCACATCCCTCCTTCAGCGCCCACTCCAACATTTTCGGCTTCGGAAAGATGAGCCATTCATATCAAGTGGTCGGAATAAAAACTAAGAATGAGTTTTAAAAGTTTATTGAGGTCTACAACTACATTTCCCATAACAAAATCCATATATGCAAGGAACGAAATACACACAATATCAGGGAAAGTCATGTAAAAATACCACACAAATGTCAACCATAAATTAATGATATCTGCTTGTTTGAGGTGGGAAAAGAGGCTTCAAAGGGGAGGGGAAAAGGTAAATGATAAAAACCTGACTTAGAAAACATACTGAAAAACAAGCACCCAGCTTTGGGGGAAGTCCCCGGCACCCCTAAAGTTACAGGGCACAATCGTGGGAGGCCTTCTAGAAGGCCCCCAGCCCAGTTCTGACAGTCAGCACTGATGTATCATGAGGGGCCACTCAGTCAACCTCCTCAATGATGGGGCCTGTACTGGGGGCCCCCTGGCGTGCTTGAGCCCCACAGCTGCTGCCCCCAGGGACACCAGCCCCCCCGTAGAGTCTGGAGAAGACGGGTCGACATGTCTGCTCCAGCTCCCTCTTCTGATGCTCATACTCCTCCTTCTCTGCTAACTGGTTGTGCTCTAGCCAGGCGAGGACTTCCTGACACTTGTCTTGCACTGTACGTTTGTCCTCTTCGGGAATTTTGTCCCTAAGGCTTTCCTCTTGCAAAGAGCCCATCACATGGAAGACGTGGGCCTCCAGGGAGTTCTTGGCAGCCACCCTGTCCCTCTGGGCCTCGTCCTCAGCCTTGTACTGCTCGGCCTCACGAACCATCCTCTCCACCTCCTCCTTGCTCAGCCGGCCCTTGTCATTGGTGATGGTGATCTTGTTCGCCTTGCCTGTGCTCCTGTCGGTGGCTGTCACGCTCAGGATGCCGTTGGCATCAATGTCAAAGGTCACCTCGATCTGGGGGACTCCACGCGGGGCAGGAGGGATGCCACTGAGCTCAAAGCGCCCAAGCAGGTTGTTGTCGCGGGTCATGGCTCTCTCGCCCTCATACACCTGGATCAGGACCCCAGGCTGGTGGTCAGAGTACGTGGTGAAGGTCTGGGTCTGCTTGGTGGGGATGGTGGCGTTCCTCTGGATCAGCGTGGTCATCACGCCCCCTGCCGTCTCCAGCCCCAGGGACAGGGGAGCCACGTCTAGCAGCAGGAGATCCTGCACTTTCTCACACTTGTCCCCCATCAACACGGCAGCCTGCACCGCCGCCCCGTAGGCCACTGCCTCGTCGGGGTTGATGCTCTTGTTCAGCTCCTTGCCGTTGAAGAAGTCCTGCAGCAGCTTCTGCACCTTCGGGATGCGGGTGGAGCCGCCCACCAGGACCACATCGTGGATCTGGGCCTTGTCCAGCTTGGCATCCCGCAGAGCCTTCTCCACCGGCTCCAGGGTGCTGCGGAAGAGGTCTGAGCACAGCTCCTCAAAGCGAGCACGAGTGATGGACGTGTAGAAGTCCACCCCCTCGAACAGCGAGTCGATCTCCAGCGTGGCCTGGGTGCTGGAGGACAGGGTGCGCTTGGCGCGCTCGCAGGCCGTGCGCAGCCTGCGCAGGGCGCGCTTGTTTCTGCTCACGTCCTTCCCCTGCTTCCTCCGGAACTCCTCCACGAAGTGGCTCACCAGCCGGTTGTCGAAGTCCTCTCCACCCAGGTGGGTGTCTCCGGCGGTGGCCTTCACCTCAAAGACACCGGCGTCGATCGTGAGGACCGACACGTCGAAGGTGCCCCCACCCAGGTCAAAGATGAGCACGTGGCGCTCTCCCGCGCCCCGCCGGTCCAGCCCGTAGGCGATGGCGGCCGCCGTGGGCTCGTTGATGATCCTCAGCACGTTGAGCCCCGCGATGGCACCCGCGTCCTTGGTGGCCTGGCGCTGCGAGTCGTTGAAGTAGGCGGGCACCGTGATCACAGCGTGCTTGACGGGCTGGCCCAGGTACGCCTCAGCGGTCTCCTTCATCTTGCTCAGCACCATGGACGAGATCTCCTCGGGGTAGAAGGCCTTGTCCTCCCCGCGGTAGGACACGCGCACCTTGGGCTTGCCGCCGTCGCTCACCACCTGGAAGGGCCAGTGCTTCATGTCCGACTGCACGGTCGCGTCCGCGAACTTGCGCCCGATCAACCGCTTGGCGTCGAACACCGTGTTGTGCGGGTTCAGGGCCGCCTGGCTCTTGGCCGAGTCGCCCACCAGCCGCTCGGTGTCGGTGAAGGCCACGTAGCTGGGCGTGGTGCGGTTGCCCTGGTCATTGGCTAGGATCTCCACTCGGCCCTGCTGGAACACGCCCACGCACGAATACGTGGTGCCCAGGTCGATGCCGATCGCCACTTCTCTCGGGGAGGACATGGCTGTCTTCTCGTGCTCCGGGAACGGGTCGGGTACCGAGTCAAACGCGCGGGGTGTCGGGCGTCGGCGCTGCTCGCCGTCGAGGGGCGCTCTGCAGAGAGGATCTCTCGCTTCTTTCCAGCCAGCCCGGCTCGGATCTGCTCGGCTCCCCTTCCATGCGCTTTTTATTCGGTTCCCGGGGACCCGCCTCCTCCCGCCCCCGCCACCTGGAACCTTCGCGCGTCTTCTCGGCGGGCCTGGAGCCCCGGTCCCGGACCGCCCGGCTGACTCAGCTCGGAGGCGCGCGCTGACTCGGGGAGAAGGTTCTCGCGGGTCCCGCCCTGCAAGGCGGGGCGCTCGGTGGCTGCGCCGGCCCGGCTAGCCCTGGAGACAGTTGCTGAACAGAAACGCGGAGGAAGTTCCAGCTCCTCCCGCCGCTTGTAAAGGTTCTGGGTTGTGGCCGAAGGCAGTCTGGTCGGTGACCGACCTCCGGAGAGACAAGCTGTCCCCTGGTGGGTTGGAGGCGGATCCTCCCCGTAGGAGCCCCAGCCTAGGGAAAGCCGAAAGGTTACCATGCCTACAGTCCAAAGCCAGCTTAAACAGGGTTTTGTGTTTGCTTTTTAAAGTCTTTTTTTTTTTTTTTAAATTTCGGAGGGGCGGAGGGGGAGGATGGGGAGAACCTGGTTGAAGTTTAAAGCGTTGTAAAGCAGGAGACCAACACGGTGGAAGCAATTCTATGTATACTCCAAAATAGGAGAGTAGATTTCGAATGTGCACCAGGCAGACTGGTAAATGTTTGAGTCGGCGGATGTATTTACTGCCCTGATTTGATCATGACACAATGTACACATGGTTTGTAAAAAAAAACCACTCTCCCTCACTAATTAGGGGGGAGAAGGGAGAAGAGCGTTAATTTCAAAATATTTTATTACAAAAATACATTACAGGGTTCATTGGTTGTTTTCCAATATTCTCTAATACATACATATTGCTGAACGTATGTATTAGCACTGCAAAATGCTGCAAAATGCCTGGCCATCGCCCGCCAGAATCTTTTATAATAAATTCGATCCCTTTAGAATTACAGAAACATTCTGAAGTAGGCGGTGAATCATGTTGTGAGTACATGAGGAATTAAGGTAATGAAGTAGAATAATTATTTTCATCTTGAAACATGAACGCTTTTCAAACTAATTCAAACACCTGCTAAATTGCGTAACATGGCCAGAGACAGCGACACACTCAAGGGACCGTATTGGAAGCACTCTGTCGTCGGTAGCATTGGTGGTTCAGTGGTAGAATTCTCGCCTGCCACGCGGGAGGCCCGGGTTCGATTCCCGGCCAATGCACAGGACGTCTTACTTTTTCCCCTTTCAGGCTCAAATAAAAGTTGTTTTGTTGTTCTACAGTTTATGATTCATAAGTAAACAAAACCAGGTTTCCCAGAACTCTGTTTTGTCGATTTGACTCCTCTTTCCAACCACGTCGCTTTCCTCAGAGGCTCCGTTGTTATTTCTGGGACTCGGGAGCGACGTTGCCTCTCCGCCCAAGAGAGAACGCCACCCCGGGGAGGAGGCGGCAGCGTGCTGGGATTGTCCTCAAACTGAGACTCGTCCCCGAGGAGCACCGTCCCCAGAAACCCTAGACGGGTTCTGACTGGGACCCCTCAGGAGGAGGGGTCCGTTCTGCGCCCTCGGGGCCGGAGGGCGAGGTAGCGGTGAACCCACGCCACTTGCCCTCAGGTCCGTTGCCTCGCGAATTGAGTGTTTGCATTGTCCCACTTACTTTAACCCAGAACATTACTTTTGGATTTTCTGGAAGCCAAAAAGGAGGAGACATTTTGGAGACATCCTCCAGGATAAAGAAGCGAAAGAAAGAAAAAAGGAAAAAAAAAAAAAAAAGGCGCGATCTCCCCGTCGGGGAATAGAAACCCGGTCTCCCCAACCACGTCGCTTTCCTCAGAGGCTCCGTTGTTATTTCTGGGACTCGGGAGCGACGTTGCCTCTCCGCCCAAGAGAGAACGCCACCCCGGGGAGGAGGCGGCAGCGTGCTGGGATTGTCCTCAAACTGAGACTCGTCCCCGAGGAGCACCGTCCCCAGAAACCCTAGACGGGTTCTGACTGGGACCCCTCAGGAGGAGGGGTCCGTTCTGCGCCCTCGGGGCCGGAGGGCGAGGTAGCGGTGAACCCACGCCACTTGCCCTCAGGTCCGTTGCCTCGCGAATTGAGTGTTTGCATTGTCCTACTTACTTTAACCCAGAACATTACTTTTGGATTTTCTGGAAGCCAAAAAGGAGGAGACATTTTGGAGACATCCTCCAGGATAAAGAAGCGAAAGAAAGAAAAAAGGAAAAAAAAAAAAAAAGTCGCGATCTCCCCGTCGGGGAATCGAACCCCGGTCTCCCGCGTGACAGGCGGGGATACTCACCACTATACTAACGAGGATGACGGCTGCAATAGGTTGCAGTTAGAGAACATGTGATATATCGTCATGTTAAAGGATTTTTATTTTATTGTTTGTCTGGTTCAAAGGAAACTACTAATTTTCTTAAAGAAAAAATAGAACTCCTCGCTCCTCAAGTGACTGGCAGGGCCTTTGAAAGGCAAGGAGGAAGTCAGGATGCAGAGGTCTGTGGCTCCTGGACTGGCTTTCTTGCTCAAGCTCTTAAGAGGTGAAAGAGATGGTGGAGTTTGCTGCTAGAGAGATGAACAGTACTGCCAAGGGGATCAGTCTGGGTGAAAAAGCGATTGCTTGATGAAGTGTGTAATGAATGTCTTCCACAGTGGGAAGAAAAGAAGGGAGAAAACCTATCGGCTTTAAATTCATTCACTCTCAGAGTCTAGGCCCCCTCAGCCTAGATGACAGAATAAAAACATTTTAGAAGGGAAAAGGAAAGGTGGCCTGGACTAAGTGTGTACTCTGGTGGGTTCCCAAAGACCGCACTTTGGACTCTTCCATTCTTCTCTCCCAGTCTTCAGCAGCCTCAAAAACATTTCTACCCACCCTGAAGAAAATGCCAGGATAGCCCTGAAGCAGGATATGTGCATAAATGTTAGTACATTTCTAATGTCACTCACTTTTCTTTTTAATTTTCGTTTGCTTTTGCTTTCTTTTCTTCCTTCCTTCCTTCCTTCCTTCCTTCCTTCCTTCCTTTCTTTCTTTCTTCTTCTTCTTTTTTTTTTTTAGATAAAGAAAATCTCCCAGTAGGGTCCCCATGCTTCAACCTGCCTCAGACTGCAGGTATGAAAGCAAGACCCAGGGGGAGCCTGAGAAGTGAACCTGGGACACTTCCCATGAGGGTCCAGCTGTGCCACTGTTATGTTGAAGGAAAAGGCTGTATACTGAGAATGAAATATTCCCCAGACAGAACTACCAGTGCTCTAGGTTCCTTTTTATCCTGTTTTAGACCCTTCATATGTACCCCAAAGTCTCCTCTAGCTTGCTACTATTTACCTTTGTTTTCCCACTTTTTGTTTCTTGTGAGTCTCTCAGCAGCAGGTAGTTATTTTGAACTTGATTAATGTTACAAAGTAAGCGTGTTTATGGGCCTCCTTAACCCTACTGTTCCTGGCTAGTTCCCTGGTCTGTACCTGCCTGTCCATGCCTAATAAACACCTAAGGCCACCACTCAGCCCCTTCTTATGTTTGTAATTGATCTCAAAGAGTTTATGTATATAGTACAAATTCAACACATGCTTTTTTTTTAGAATTATTTTATTTAATTTTATATATTTATTTACTTAATTTGACCAGAGAGGGACAGAGCAAGAGTGAAAGTAAGAGAGAGAGAAAGTAAGAAAGCAAGCCGCCAGGTCCGTTAAACCGTGGTCGGCCATGTGGAAGTCCAGCGCCCTTAACCACATGCACACACGCCCGGCGTGAGTTTAAGCCTTCGGGTCCAGAGAACCGCGGTCGACTAAATGGGAGTCCAGCAACATAGCCATTATGCCAACTGCTGGTCCCGGTCTAGTAATATAGATGACAGGTTTTGACTTGTTAGGCTTGAGTGAGGGAGTGGGCGACAAACTGTAGTAGGACAATAACCCAGTATGGCAGAGAATCTGCAACGTGGTAATGGACGGTCATGCTTTAGGTTAAGCGTAATGAGGTCAAGTTCTATGGCGACAGAAAATCCTGTAATGATTACAAATGAGGCAGCAAGTTTTAGGTAAGTGGCTATTGTTATTTGTGGGACACTTACAGGTGTGATGTTATTGGAGATTAGGAAGCCTGCGAAGATGCTTCCTACTGCAAGGTGTTTGATAGAATTAATCAGAAGTGGCTTATTTTCATTAATAGTAATGATTGATGGATAGCATGGTTGACCTATAAGAGTGTAGAAAATGATGAGGGTACTGTAGACAGCTGTAAGGGATGCTGTAATTAGTGTTGTAAGAAGGGCTCAGGCATTGATGTATGAAGTGTTTGCTGATTCAAAAACTAGGTCTTGGGACCAACAGGTGGCATGGTGGTTAAGGTGCTGGACACTCCCACATGGCCGATCACGGTTCGAGTCCCAAACCTGGTGGCTTGCTTTCTCACTTCTCCCACCCCCCTCTCTCTGTCTCAAGTCAAATTAGAATAAATGAATGGATAAATAAAAATAAATTAAATGGGACCAGCAGTTAGCGTAATGGCTATGTCGCGGGACTCCCATGTAGTCAACTGTGGTTCGCATCCCAGACCCGGTGGCTTAAAACTCACGCCTGGTGCGTGTGCGTATGTGCCCAAGATCCTGAGAGGAGAACAGAGGAGAAGGGATTGTGGCGTGGCCATCCCCCCTGGGGGGTGATTCCTTGCTTTTTGTCTCTCTGTCTCTCTCTGTCTGTTTGGCGAGCGCATGTGCCCTATAGCAAAAACCTCTCAAAAAAAAAAAAAAACAAGGCTATTATGCGTGCTGGTGATAGTAGCTCACTTGATGAAGAGGTTGGAAGTGGTTTATTTAATAGAGTCACTGAGGGAAAGTTAAGTGTTCCTATCCTGTTTTGTATATAAATTAGGGCTACTAGGAGAGGTAATGATCCAACGAGAGTGTAAAATAGGGAGTGGGTTCCTGCATTGAGTCGCTGGTTTCCTCAGCCTGTGATAATGATAAGGATAGGGGTGAGCGTAGCTTCAAATAGAATGTAAAAAAGAGTTAATTCTGTGGCTGTGAATGTTATAATAAGGAAAAATCGTAGTAAGATAAGTCTGCTAATACATAGTTTTTTTGCGTAATTGGTTCTTTGTTTAAATGATGTCAACTAGCCATAATTACGGGGAAGTAATCAGGTGGTTATAATTAAAAGGGGGGGTGAGAGAGGATCAGAGAAGGAAGTGAGGGGAAAATTGAGGCTATTGTCTGATATTCGGTTAAATAAAAGACTTACGAAGCTGATTAGAAGGCTGTGTAAGTTGTGTGAATTCAGATTATGTTGTTTTTGGATAATTCTGTTAATGGAATAAATATGGCTGTTAGGATGATTTTTTACATTGTAGTAG